AACAACCTCCAGGTCCCACGATTCACTCGGTCCAGAAGTTCGCAGCCCCAACGGTGACAGACCAGGTCCCGGTTGCAACAGCTCCCAAATCCCACAGCTGTAGTTTAGCTTCCTTGGTTTCCGCGGCTCGCAGGTCCAATCGGCGACGGACCGGGTCTCCGACGTAAACAGCTCGGTTCAGCGGCTCGTAGGTCCAATAGCGGCGGACTGGGTCTCCGACGTAAACAGCTCGGTTCAGCGGCTCGTAGGTCCAACAGCGGCGGACCGGGTCTCCGACGTAAACAGCTCGGTTCAGCGGCTCGCAGGTCCAGACAGTGGCGGACCGGGTCCCCGACGTGGCGGACCGGGTCCCCGACGTAAACAGCTCGGTTCAGCGGTTTGCAGGTCCAACAGCGGTGGACTGGGTCTCTGCAGGCCTCACTAGCCGAAGCAGCTCTCTGACCAGCTCGTTAGCCAAACGTTAGCTAAACTCGTGGCTCAGCTTCCACGGTTCAGAGCGCGCGGATTTCCTTCTTCCACCTGTTCTGTATATATATATATCCACATATGTATTATCTATATAGACATATAAATACACATATACAGTTGGAGTCAGTTTTGTAAAGTTGGCAAAGTTAGCTAGAGATCGGAGGGAGCATCAGTCAACACCTCCTACTCCATCGGCGCCATCTTGGATTTTGGGGCCTCAGCACTGACCACTGAGCTACCGTTGCTGTGGCAGACATCTTGGAACGGATTTATGCTAAAAGTGATTCAGTTTTGTATGAATCATAGTTTTTTTTAACTTTCAATAAAAGCCATCCAGTAATTTCTGCAATATTTTGCTAACAGACCAACAAGGTTGACACCAACATTTGATGCTAAAGTTTTAAGCAAAGTTCTTGTGCATTGATCTGAGTTTGAGCTGTGAATGAATTAAAAGCTACTTTCTAACAAAATGTTTATACTGTTTGTTGTTTGTATAGTCTGTTGGATCTGCCAGGCATCTTGAATTGGTTGGTCTCCAAAATGTAATAAATTGTACCTCACATGATTATTTTAAGAGCGTTTCAGTAAATCTGTCTAGTGATTCATGAGTTATTTTGCTAACAGACTGATGCAAGAACAGACTTATAGACAAAAGCATTAATGCACGTCTTTTGCCTTTTGGTGTCTGCCCCTTTTCCATTAGTACCGGTACGGGCCGACTCGACCCTACTTGGCCCGGTTCTGAGGCTTTTCCATTAGTACCGGTACTTAGCACCTGTTACTATTTTCAGTACCCTTGGCTCTGTGGTTCTAACCGGTACGAAGAGGTACAAAAACGTGACGTCAGTACACTGTCGGTCACTGGTTGGTCGGGGACGGAGTCGGGGGCGGAGTCACTGGATCCTTCAGAAACGTTTCAAAACAATAATCCGCCATTTGCAATTTCTCGGACTGGAGCAGTGGCTGGACTTATTTTAAAGATTTTAAAAACAATACTGACAACATCTTGGTCTAATGTTGATGTGCTGGCATTTTTTGTGCTTGGTGGCCGACAACATAATTTAGAGCAAGCTGGATGGAGCTCTGCTGGTCTACCCCGATCCTCCCTCCAGAGCCTCGGAGCGCCAGACCGGGCAGGGCGTCATCTCCCCGGCTCCAAGTTCAGCTGGTCACCGCGGAAGATCCATCCATGTGCCGACTCGGAGGCTCGGGTTCCGGATACCAGCCTTGTGTGCTCAGAGCTCCGCAGGTCACTGCGAAGCTGGAGATGGGGACTCGCAGATGGACGTTGCCAGACCCCGGCCGCGCGTAATCATGAAGGCTGAATCCCGATCCCGCCCGGCAGTCAGGCGGACTGGACAGTCTGGGACGGACGCTGGAAGCGATTTTTAAATAAAATAACATTTTGTTTTTATACAAAAAGTGTTTTAAAAAAATGCTGAAGCGATTTAAAAATTATTATTTTTTTTTTTACACGTAAAATGTTTTTTAAAATCGCTTCCACCGTTCGTCGCAGACCCGTCTCTGCCCGCCTGTCTGCGCGGGTCGAGCCTTCATGATTACGCGCGGCTGGAGTCTTGGAACGGACTCTGTGAGTGACCAGCTGAGCTGGAGCTGGGAGGATGAGCCTCCCAGCCTCCTCCTCTCCGGAGGAGAGGATCGTGTGACTGCGGGCAGTGTCGTGCGAGACCAGCAGAGCGTTGAAGATTTAAAAAAAAAAAAAAAAAGACGGTGCCAGCTTCATCATGAAATCCTGTTTTCACTTTAATGGCTGTTAACTCAGCTGAAAATCATAAAAAGACACAAAACTATTGGATATCAGGAATATTTCCCTCAAACATGTTTAAAGAAAAGAGACGACCTTCAGTTCAACTTTATTTTAACTCACGAATGTACAAATCACAAAACAAGAACTTTAAAGCAAAGCTAAAAATAAAATGTAAATATGTGAACAAGAAACAAAACCACACATTTAAAATGAACATTAAAAGTAGACACAATGAGTGCAAATACATCAAATGATGATGAAAACCTATAAAAATTTGAATGTAATGTTTTTGTAGAATCTGGTTCATCAGAGTTTTAATTTATATACATATATATATTTATATCTATAAATAAATATAGATAAATATATATGTATATATATAAATACATATATATGTATATAAATATATACGAATATATATGTATATAAATATATATGAATATATATAAATACATATATATATGTATATAAATATATATGAATATATATAAATACATATATATGTATATAAATATATATGAATATATATAAATACATATATATATGTATATAAATATATATGAATATATATAAATACATATATATGTATATAAATATATATGAATATATATAAATACATATATATATGTATATAAATATATATGAATATATATAAATACATATATATATGTATATAAATATATATGAATATATATAAATACATATATATGTATATAAATACATGTGTATATATATACATATATATATGTATATAAATATATATGAATATATATAAATACATATATATGTATATAAATACATGTGTATATATATACATATATATATATATACATAATTGTGTGTATATACATATGTGATATATATATATATATATATATATATATATACACACATAAATATAT